ATTTCTGGTTGCTCTTTAGTGAGTAAAATTACTTCTACTTTATTAAAATTGCCAATTCATTGCAGAATATTTTGAATAAAAAGTATAATCTTTTCCAGGAAGAATTAGCAAATTAAACAGGCAATCCAAGATACAACACAGAAGAAGTGGGTTTAAGTTTACTTTTATTGTAATTCTCATCTTTATATGTAAGATAGTAAATCAATTTACTGATACAATAAAATATATTTAATATAGACATGGATATTCTAAATTTTCAGTAAGTGCAAAGTGAAATCTTTTAACAATACATGTACATTCCTTGTTAAGATATAATAAAGTATGGATACAACAAAGAAATTTTGTAAATTGTTAAGAGATTTTGCTTTAAAAGTATTTTCAAGTTATGCCTATGTCTAAACTGTAAACAGAATTTATGCACTGAGGTACTGTAATACATTTTTGGGATGGTGTATTTTTTCTACTGTATATTTTATTTAAAATACATATCTTACCCATTACTTTCTTCCATTAATTAGTTTTTTTTTTAACTTTTTTCCAGTGAAATGATGCAATTATACACATGCAGATATTTACATTGCACAGATTACTAAGGTAACTATTTTTGTACATGATTATATAATTTTCTTGAAGAAAAGTGTTTTTTCTTGCTAGTTTGTATTATGGATGATATCTATCTTTGTGCTTGGGTATCTTGATGTATACATGGCTGGATGTTCCAATAGCAACAAAAGATTGTATATCTTAGCAGCATTCATTCGTTTTGATAATGTGAAAATTGTACATTTATTTCCATTTCTTCTCAGCTTTAAACAGCGTGACATTGGTTTTAATTCCAGGGACAAAAATAGCATCATCAAAATAAAGAATCTGTTCAAATGTTTAAAATTGTTTATCTTCTGCATCAGTGAAGTTCTTTTGAAACATATATGGTATCCAAGGAAAGCAGTGTTTTAAAAATATATGCCTGATTTTATATAAAATATATGCCAAGAGTTTATATAAAAACAATACAAAATTCAAAGTTGCATATATGCGTAACAAGTCCATGTTTAATGTGCCTTTTCCAAATCACATTTATGTTTTACTAGAACTGCCCTAAGTTGCATTAATATTATACCAAAACTTCAGATGAATACAGCATGTCTAATATTTGTACCTGATGTTCTGTGGTTTCTTGTCCTGTTTGTACAAGCAGCCATGTTATAACTAGGCCATTCATAACTGTTCCATGTACCCTTTTCCATTAATGAGTATCACCTGTTGATTTTTATCTCATAAAAATTGTAATAAAGTATATGTTCAGAATTTTTTTTAGTAGTTTTCTTTTCTTACACATCTTCCATGTAATACATAGGAATATATTTATCACAGACAACTGATGCACATTAATCAATTGTTGTGACTCAGATCACACACACACACACACACACACACACACATATATATATATATATATATATATATATATATATATATATATATATATATATATATATATATATATATATATATATATATAAATGATGTGATACTCTGTTCTGCTGACTATAAGTGACTGGTGAGTGAAAGTTAAGAGGATGTGTATTTGAACCCCAACAAGCAACACATTCTCCATGTCAACTCTGAACTATGTTACTGTACTGAGTTGTTCATGTTGTCCAGCTGTGGTGGCTCAGTGGTTGGCATCTATGACTGCTTCTCAAAATCCAAACATAGCATTGTCCCATATGCTTCTGACATACATAATTATTTTTTGCTGAATCTTCTATCACATAATATTGAGACAAATTATTTCTATGAAAGGTATATTTTCCTTAATTTATCTGCCAATTAATAAAAATAAACACTAGACAATCTACTCAATAAGTGCTTCCATGTCACAGTCATTATTGCCACATGAGAGGTTTATTTAGTTTTAAACTAATTTTATGAAGCAAATAAAATGCAAATACCACCGCAAACAATGAGGCTCTTTTCTTTTTCTAATACAAATTATTATTATTATTATATATATATATATATATATATATATATATATATATATATATATATATATAAGTTCAAGTTTGGAAACAAATGTTGGTATGTTTTCATCATCAAAAGATAATTTGTGGAAATTGGACAAAGATAACTTGTTCTGGAAGGGAGTTATGGTCAGTCAGCTATTAAAACATGTGCCTGTAGATGTGTAAGTGTCTGATTGTGAGCACAATTGATATTGACTCTAGCTGTAAGATATATACATTTTGTTATATATATATCTACATTTTTTTTTTAAATTTCATTTATGTGTAAGTATAAAATCTTGTTGATTGAAAAAATCAATTATTCCAACAATAATATCTGGAAGCAGATATCAGTCTTATTATTGTGTCCAGTAATTCATTTAGGCTGGAATTTATTTATTCAAATTATAAAATCCAAAGTAATAATCACAGATAATATTCTTGGAAACAGAGAATTGGATATATAGTGAAATTTAAATAAGGATATATTCTTGAACATTATTATTGTGACTCAATAAAAGACTTGGCACCTGATTAATATTCACGCCATCACAGACACATCAACACTTTCCACAGTAGATTAAATTTGGAATACCATTCTAGTTACTTCAGAATTTTTTTTCTTTTTTAGTACTTGTGGTTTAAATGTTAGATTATTTGGGATTTAATTTATAATATCGCAAGTTCTCTTTTTACATTTTCACTTTGTTTTCTAGGGAAATAAATTATTTGTTGAATTTTACAAAACTTGGTTTTCACTCTTTTTCTGTTACTTTAAGAGCAAAGAATCATAACTGATTTTGCCATGGGCTAAACACAACACCAGAATTACACAGGAACTAAACTGGTTAAGTCATGAGAGCGTTTCAAAAATCTAAACTACAGTCACTTGATGTTTGTTAGAACTTTAGAGTCAGTAAATAAAAACTTAACATATAATTTAAATATCAGAGTTACAAAATGAAAATGTAAGAGGAACTTGAGCATTATGAATTGAATGCAAAATAATCCATAAAAAGTTATACTCAGGTCCTAAAGAATCTACTGCTCCAAATGAATTTCAGATTCTCAAATGTACTGGTCTGCCAGTCTTGATGTATCAAAGGGACATTGTCCAGAACTCCTTTCAATAAGCTACAGTAGTCCCATAATAATATTTTACTTGAATAAGCAATCTGTAATTCCAATGAATAATCCATACAAATGTTTCATCTCAAATAATATCTAAACATTAATTATAGCTACAGACTGATGCTATAACAGGTACACAAGAAATAAGACTGATAAAATTTGTCCAGCTTCAAATACATCTCAACAAGTTTATGCAGTGAAAATGCATTTTGCTCCTCCTTGCTGTGTAACTTTTATAAATATCCCATATTATAAAAAACCCAACTGTCCTAACCCATCTAAGAGCCCACCAGCCAATGAAAAATTACTCCAAACTTCTCAAAAGGTTTTATTATTAATATTACTATCATAAAGACCATTAACAACAAATGATAGATCCCACACAATCAACACACTTAATATCTTAAAATATCATTAAATACCCATGTACAAAAATTATCTACCATTTTGATTGTAGATCAATCTTACAATTTTCATTCATGAATAAAATTTACACAAAATATAGTATTGTACTAAGAGTTACAAAATAGTGATATTTAGAACAAATTACAACTGAAAAATCACAGGTCAGTCATTTTTTATTTTCTAACAAAAACGGCAAAGTTTCAATTTTTGGGTGACTTAGTTTCCCACTTCACCTGATAACATGACTCCTGCAACTTCCTAATCTGTCAAAACTATCTTTGAATGCAAATAATTTTGATTTATGGGAAAAATACCTTGAGAACTGTATGTGCAATAAGTTATTTCATTTATATGGATTTTATAAGTTTTTAAGAAATGCAGAATGTTTTTACTAGTTACAAACCAAAAGATGTATTTATTCAAGATCTATTCACACTGTGGTAATAGTAGTTTATAACTGCTTATCCAGCATCTGATAATTTCAGTGTATGGTTCATCTTCACTTTTCACTGGATTTGCTTTTTAAAAGAAGCATTACTAAAAATATAAGTTAAATGAATTTGATGATAAACATTTCAAATTGTTTTAATAAAATAGTCTTTATTTCCTTTCTAGTTTCTCAGTTTCTTTATTTTTACTGGTCATCATGATATCATCAGAATATTCATTTCAACTAAATCCTTTATATCCTTTAGGAGCTAACAGTATTTAAGTATTTAGTCATTGAACTGTGCTGAAGTCTGATTTATCTGTATTAAAGACTCCGTTCTTTATGATTACTATATGGACCAATCAGAGGGAAACTTTACTGTTCATGTTACAAGCTATAATGTTGTTGTTGTATTTTATTGCATGCTAACCCCTGGCGAGGAAAAAGTGGAATCCAAGTGGACAAAGAGTAATTTGAGCAGAAAAAGAGTAATCCACATATAACACAATAAAATTCAATGAGCAGATGTACAAAATGATTTATTTACGTCTTTTAACATCAGTAACTGCTTCAAGTTTTCATATATAGCACTTTAAGCTTTAAAAAGCAACAGACTCTCATACTGCATTTCAAAACACTTTGTACAAGCTGAGACTATGAATATTTTGCACAAAGTAGAGCACTAAGTTCTAGGTTACTGAGCCTGGATCTAAATTCAGTTTTATTTTTGTAAATGCTCTGTAAACAATCTCTCAGTTAGCATTAGAATGGTAAAGATTTTAGTGTGTGATTTAGATTTTTAATGTAGTAGTTTTAACAATTTCTCAATCCTATCGCTACAATGTCTGCAGTGTGGCAGTTTATAGTGATGTCTAGCACTGGGGCATCATGCCACAGACATGTAGCATGATGTCCCACAAAGTCACATTATCCTGACACCAGACCAACCCGTCCCAACACTAAACCTCTTAATGCTGAGCGCCAAGCAAGGCAGATGTTAGTACCCTTTTTGCAAGTCTCTGATATGACTCGGCCGGTGTTTGAACCCACAACCTCCCGCATCTGAGGCAGACACTCTAACAACTAGGCCACCGGAGCGGTCAGAATGGTAAAGAACCAATATTCTTTTCATAACCTGACAAATAAGAGAAAATGTATATCTTCCAGGTATTGGGTCTTTAGCTGGGAAATACGGTGCCATTGCAGATCAACTCTATCCACAGGAAGTACATTGTCAGGTAGAATGACAACTTTTTACTTCAGAAGTTCCTCTAATTTATTGGTAGCCTTTTCTGCAGCAAAGTGCATCAAATGACAGGAACAACCTGATATGTACACTGGTGGAGACTTTTTTCAAAATATAGAATGAAACTCCTTTATGAATTCCAGTCATCACTGATACTTTATCAGCTGAATACAGTTCTGCCATTCTCTGTTTATTCAACGCATTATCAATCAAAACAAAACTGTTTTCTTTAGTGGAATCTATTATTAATTCTGGTAATGACAGAAGAGCTCTTTGCCCATTTTGTTGCAAATCTCCTAAACAGACTGAGAAAAACGTTCTGTCAATCACTAATCCTGTCTGTGGCAATACCAAACATCCCAATTTTCATGGAATCTTTAATTTTAAGTGATTTAGTATCTCCTAAATAAATAACAATATTAGATTTTCTTGCACATCCATATTTTTGGCAATTTGGAATCGGGAAACATCTGTTTGAACAAATGAACAAAGTAGTCTTCTACCACTAAGGATAGTACATGTTTTATTAAGAACTTGTCCACAATTGAGTTCTGCTGTAAAAAAAGAAGTTACCTTAGTACTGTAGTTAGTAAAAAACAGCTACATGTAATTCAAGGTTTCTTTGTTTTACCACCAAGACCAATATTAAAATACTATCCACACAGCCTGCAATGGGCATAAAGCTGCATCAGAATGTATTATGTAATTCATGTATTCATCTTCGAATTTATTTTAGTCTTTTTCTAATCCATATGTGAAATTTGAAGAAAAAAAAACATTTTAGCTTCCAAAACATGTATTGACTAGAATAAGTAATACTTTACTTTTAGTGCCTAATACCAACAGACTGATTATGTACCAGATAAGAAATAGAATAAAGAATCTGAGAGCAAAGATTAAAAATTAGCAAACAAGTCTCTTCTCTCCGAAGTCATGCAGCTGCTATAAACAGGAACTAAAATCAAAAGTTTGAAATTAGAATCCAGCATGTTTATTGATAATAGGGCAGCTGCTATAAATAGAACATAACACTTTTAGGGAAGTGCATGCCAGTCTACAGACATGTGTACTCTTTATCTCATAGTTAGGCAGAAGCCATCTTTTCTATAATATGGTCTGTAGAATTATTGGGATGTTAATAAAAATGAGAAAACAAATTTATTAATTTGTTTGGAGCTGGATATAGCGAAAACACATAATCTGGAAATGTTTATGCATAAAGCGTAATTTAGTGAAAAAAAAGCTTAATGATTACGCAAAAAGCATTTTTGGGTGGCATGTGTGTAGTATGCTATGTGACAGCAGATCAGGGTATATATATACTTTTCAGAGTTAAGTGTAAATGACACAAGTAAATATGATAATATTCAACATAATCTTGATGTAGTTTCTGGCTAGTATTTACCAAATTCATATAGGTTTTATCCAAAATGCAAACAGCACAAACCCTGATCTGCCATCTCATAATGTGCCAGCAGATCTGGGTATATTCATTTCATTAGGACTGATCAGAAGAAAAAAAAAAACATTTGCTACTACAAAATACCAGGCATATCAGGGTATAGACTGCTTGCAGCTTGATGCAGCTTGTAAACAAGTATATATCATATCTGAAAAGTATATACTATTATGAATTTATGGTCTTTACCTAATCAACAAAAAGAGCAAAAACCAACATGTTTTGTAAAATTCAACAAAAACTTTCACAAGCATAAAAAGTTAAAATTTAAAAAGAACAGTTTTGCCCAATAGTCCAATAAGCATTATCACTTGTCTAAATGTATGAAGTTCCAATTGAATTGCAGTAGTGTTATAAATAATCTCCAATACTTAAATATGCTAATGTGCTTGAATATATTAATGTGCTAATGCCTCAATATGTGGCAATGTGTTAAGAGTCTTTTAATGTATCACATTCATATAATCTCAAATGTTCTTGCCTGAATTCACTCTAATTCCAAATTAATGTTTTAGTCCAAGAATATTATTGAGCAGTCTGTAATTCCAGTGAGAAATAATCTGAATAAATAAATCAAAACAAATTAAAAACTGAACATAACAATAAGAATGATTCCGCTTCAGATATTAAATCAAGAACAAGTACTTTTTCAAGTAAACAACATTGACATAAGAAGCTAAGACACAATAATAGAGCCATCATGTAGGTCAGTATCCCCTCTATCACATTCAAACTTAACAAGTTTATGAACTTCCAAGTAGAAAACTTACATCCTAGACTCAGATTGAAACCAACTATTTAATCTAGAATCATAGAGAATTATTAGCTATGTATTATACTGTTTGCAAAATAAATGTTGTTGGTCAGGTACACTGTACTTTATTTTGGACAAAGGTCCAGTACAAAAGATAGATATTGTTGTGACCCTGTAATTAAATTACATGTGCTAAACTCTAAAGTTTTCTATTTTATTTTTATTTCATTTTATATCATTAAACTTAATTATTGTTATGACTATAATTATGTTCACGAGGTCTAATATTTTGTTGGAAACATCATGTTTATTTAAAACATAAATATAACTCGCATCAGCACGATTTTGAATGATGGTTTTGTCATTAAGTAAACTATGGTTTCACCAAATTTTTCAAGAGAATTTTTTAGTCCATTCTATCTTGCTCATTTTACTGAATTTTCTTCAGTTAAGATTTTATGGCCCTCACAAGGTAAAGAAAGTGAACAAGTTAAATTATAATATTAGTACTAAAGTCTAGAAAATTAATGGAGTACTATTATTTTAAAATAGCCAGGTAAATCATGCAATTATGTTAGTTGTACCTGTCCTACAAGCTGAGGATTTGAATGAAGGAATTTAGTTGGATTCTATTGATCTTGGAACAAGCAGTCTTTGGAATTTGGAAGTTATAGAAAATCTAGACCAAAAAAAACATTCTCATTTACAAAATCAAGAAAAAGTTAACTTTAAACAATTATTGTATGATCATAAGCACTTGTTTCCAGACGAGATTCAAACCCCATGAAACAACACCCATATAGGATGAATCCTTTTAAACAGGAATACATGAAAAACTAGATTCAGTATTTACTGGAGAATGATTTTATAGAGTCCAGTATGAGTGATTGGAGTTCACCGTGCATTCTTGTTCCGAAACCGGATAAAAACTTTCTGAATGTGTACAGATTATAGGATGGTGAACAGTGTTACAATAAAAGACATATCCACTGCCAAGAATCGATGACTGTATCAACAAAATTGGAAATGCCATGCATGTCCCTATATTCGACCTTCTGAAGGGTTTTTGGCAAACTCCATTAACGAAAAGAGCAAATTAAATTTCAGCATTTGTGACTTCAGATAAACTCTACCAGTATAAAGTAATGCCATTTTGGATGAATGGCTTTCAAGTACTTTTCAACACCTTATGAATATTACTTCTGGCCTAGACAATTGTGATGCCTATATTAATGATGTCATCATCTATAACAACACCTGGAAAGAACATCTAGCCACGATTCGAAAGTTCAACAGACTCACGGATACAAATTTGACTATTAAGTTATCTGAAAGTGAGTTCTGCCATGTGTGTTATATTTCTAGGACATATTGTGGGACATGGTCAGATTAAACCTATAGATGCTAATGTCAAGGCTATTTCTGAATTTCCTGTGCCTGTCAGTAGAGAAAAGGTGATGCAACTTTTGGGTATGGCTGATATTGTTTATCCTCTGACAAACATGGTTGAGAAAGAAAAACAAGTTTCTTTGGACTGAAAAATGTGAAAAGGCTTTTGATAAATTAAAGGTCTTACTTAAAAGTGCACCTGTTTTAACAGCTCCAGATTTCAGTCAACCATTCAAACTATCTGTGGATGCAAGTGATGTTGGGGTCGGAACAGTTTTGCTTCAAGATGCCAAAAATAGTGTAGAACTCCCAGTGTGTTATTAAATAAACACCAAAGGAACTTCACCACAATCGAAAAGGAATGTTTAGCTTTAATAATGGCATTACAGCATTTTGAAGTCTATATTAGCTTCATCAGCAGAAAGAAAAATCAAAATCAAAGACTACTGAGATTGAGTTTATTTTTGCAAGAATACAATACAGGCACATTAAAGGAAAAGACAATTTAATTGCAGACACACTTTGTATATACACCTTTGCACTTTCCCATGTATTCTCATATACACCTTTGTATAATTCATGAGAGATCTTACTTAATTTTTTTACCTTGTGTATATTTTACATCAGGTTAAAAAAGAAAGCTTCATTACATAAATCTTTCTTTTTTCTTTATGGGAGGAAATATAATTATTGTTATGATGATTATTTTCGTAGGGTCTGATATTTTGTTAGAAACATGTTTATTTAAAACATAATTGTGACTTGTGTAAGCACGATTTTTTGCATGACAGTTTTGTCATATTAAGTAAACAGTTGGAAATAGCTATGTAAATGATTGGTTGTGGCCACTGACATTACTAATAATACTGACATTCTATACTGCATTGTGGCTAGATTTCAAAATCTTCATGATTTTTTTCATATGTGTACAAGGGGTAATGTATTAGATTGCTTTAAAGACTCAAGTACCTGTGAAATACGACTCCTATTTCAACATCTTAGAGTCATATCATAACATATTTCTGTACTGGAAAGAGTTCTTTGTTCATACGTATGAAGAATAGCATGTTTTGCTATTGACGATAGCTGTACATATCTACCTTTTAAAGAATAATTATTTTCTCTGGTGAACTACACAACTGGGTTTGGATAAAGACATTTGCTGAAATTATTCTTAAATTGGAACAGGACAGTACAAAATTGTGCTTCACAGTGGAAATTCTGGACACTTGTGTTATCCTTTATCTGGCATCA